CGGTTAGGGCACAAGAACCTATCCTGTCACTTGATCTACTTTTGACCCATTTAAAGTTATTTCAGCTTGAAAAGTGAAGGGGACACACGTGGAGTAAGCCTCAGGTGAATCCCCTGACCAGGGACCAGGATGTGAGTACCGTTGCCATCACACAGAGTGCAGGTGCAGGGTGGTTGAAATGTAACACCTTGTTGGATCTCCTTTAGATTCATTTTAAACTTGTTCTGCTTGTCAGTATTTTCTGGTTTCTTTTCAATTAAGGTTTTTCTGTTTTACTTGGCTATTGTGAGGTTTTCTTTTTAAAATGTTCTTCTGGGGAAAGGGGCGCTGATAGCACTGATGACTGTATAACCCCACCCGATGGGCTTGAACAACAGAATTGATGTGAATGGACATACTGAAAAGTGTAAGGCATGTCAATAAAGATAGTCTGAGAAATGTTTTTCCTGGACAGGAGATGCAGGGTAGGTAAATCTATAGCGATAGTAACTGGATTAATGGTTCCTTAGGGGGTTGGGGGTGGCAGGGCTAGAGAGCTAATAATGATGAGTCCAAGAATGAAGATGTTCTAAACGTGATTGTGGTGATGACAACACAGGTCTTCTTGATATGACTAAACTATTGCATTGTATGGTTTGTAAATCATATGCCAATAAGACATTTTGTATTTATGAAAAACCCCGTTGGCAGGGTTTTCCTGACATCTAGTGCTCATGGCAGTATCGCCTTGTGCCTCCTTCCCCTCTAACGCAGGCGAGAAGCTGGTGCCCGGGGCCAGAGAGGTTCTGACGGAAATATTTAAGAGCTGTGCCCACTCGGAGCAGATGCTGAGCCTGACACCAGCGAAGCCCATCAAAGTCTCTGACATTTACCTCAGCAAAGAGCAGATCAACTCCCAGACGCCAGGCAACCTCCTCCACGTCTTCTTCACCAACGTCCGGCCACCCAAAAAGGTGCTGGAGGACCAGCTCACCCAGGTAGGTGCCACCCCTGCCTGCTGCTCCTCGTCGAGCCTGCTGCCCTGCTGGCCGGCCCAAGACCCCTCCGTCCGCGTGTGTGCCTGCAGATCCTGAGGAAGTACGGCGTGCCGAAGCCCAAGTCCGACAAGAGCAAGTACGGCAAGGCGGGCAAGGAGCAGCACCCCGTGAAGGTGGTCAGCACCAAGCGGCCCATCTCCAAGCCGCCCGCCAAGGACAAGGCCGTGCTCAACAGCGTCAGGTGGGGGCAGCCGCCAGCCCGGCCTTCCACCTCGGGAGGGTCTGGCTCAGCCGTGAGAAGTCTTGATAGTAGTAGTAAGGTGACTGGCATTTTCTTTTTCTCAAGTGTGATCATAAATTCTTTTGGCCACATAAATAGGGCAGTTCTGGTGGACAAGATCAGAAAACGCATCTGTGTATTTTGAAAAGAGCTCGGTCACCCCACACATAACGCTACTGTGGACATTAGAGGGCTTCACTTTTTACATGTGAATGTGCATGCTGTTACTCTAACTCTGGGAAGGGTCCAAGGGGCAGAGCTCAATGGAAGATTCAGTGAAGTGCCCCCTCCGCTCTCCCACCCAGTGCCCGGCCCCAGAGCAGTGGTGCTGTTTTATTCTATAACTTTCCAGAATTTTTCTCTGTATATGGGCCATGCACCCTGTGCCTGCATGTTTTCAAAATCCTGGGGATCATCTCCTATCCCCGGGATAGGGCAGAAAGACTCTCTGTGGTTGTCATGTGCCTCCCAGGGCAACACTGTATGAGCGCCCCGGGTTGGGGTAGTGGGGGAGTTCCTAGAGAGCAGATCAGCAGGTCTGTCTGGCCTTCCAGCGAGCACTTGACCTCGGCACCAGCACGGTACCTTGTTTACACCTGTAGCTACACAACATTGTACTTGCTGAGCCTGAGGTATAGTTCGTGGAACTTTCTGTAGGCGCAAGCCTGGGGACTCTGGACTCTCAGACACTCTGATAGCCAGATGCCACCCCGTCGGACTCCAGACTAATGCTTAAAGATGGGAAGAAAAGGCCTTTGTGGGTGGTGTTTTTAAAGCCGCGCTGCCCACAGAACTGGCTGTGAGCCTGGAAATAGGCTGGCTCTGCATGATCACAAGGGCAGCAGCAAGCCACACGTGGCTACTGGGCTCTTGAGATGTGCCCAGTGGCTCTGAGGAAATGTGTTCCCCGTTTCACGGCATTAAGGCTTAAGTACGTAGTGTATCTGGGACAGACAACACAAGCCCTGAGTATGCAGCAAGAAGGTTGGAGAAGCTTCAACATCTGTTTGTCTTCCGAATTGGCACAGTAAATGGTCCTTGGTCTGAGGAAAGGCAACCTGGTACCCAGCCCAGCTCCTCAGCGAGGAGGAGCATGCCCACGGGTGGGCTTGCGGTGCTTCCTCTGGAGGAGGGGAAGGGTGTGGGCGTGCCGAACTCAGAGTCCGGTGGTTTGGTCTACAGCAGGACTGCCTTAAGTGAGAAGAAGCCGACTGTGAAGCCCAAGTCCCCGGAAAAGAACAAGCCCGATGAAAAGGACCCGGAAAAGTCGCCCACCAAAAAGCAGGAAGGTGAGTGAGCAGTCTGGCGGGAGGCAGGGTCCAGGCCCGCTTCCCCCTGGGGATGGACAGTCCACTCAGGGACTACTGCTCCGGCCTGACTGGCCCCTCCCAGCGCTGCACCCCCTTGGGTTGTCTGTGGTTCAGAGCGGGCTGCACTTCAGCCCACTGGGAACTGTGGCCAGCCAACGCTAGTCACTTACCAACACCAGTGAAAGGCCATCTTGCATGATCATGAACTTCTGTAGCTAAAAATAACAGCTCCAGAGTCTCCACACACCCAAGGTGAAGAACAGATGATTGTGGGTGAGCAGTACAGATTGAGCCGTCTCCTTGGAAACGCTCTAGAAGGCACTGGGGACAGTTAAACCTCCCAGAGGCCCAAGCTGCAATGGAAAACACCACTCATGGTAGCATGTGCGCACACAGAAGGACAGGACTGTAGGAACACAGCCGACCGTGGGAGGCTGGGGCCTTGGAGCCCTTGCGAAGTCTAGGGAATTGTGTGGGCAGGCAATGGGGGCCCTGGAGGTCGGGAGCCAGCGGGCCCTACATGGCCTCAGCCCTGGCCGAGAGAGGCTGTGGCGAGGCCGACTTGTGCCCAGCCCTCCCCCGGCCCCACATGCCCCATGTTCGCTTTGCCACCAGTCCCCGAGGAGAAGTACCTGACCTTGGATGGCTTTCACAAGTTTGTTATTGACCGCGCCAAGCAAGACATCCGTAGCGTCTGGAGGGCCATCCTGTCCTGTGGTTACGATCTTCATTTTGAGAGGTAAGAGGGTGGCAGAGGGTGGCTGCTCCACCAGCAGGCCCAAGACTTCCCGGGGGTCCATTCTGTGCACCGCATCCCTCAAGCTTCCTGAGCTAATTTCTCACTCTTCCTAAGAAAAAAGCCAGCAGACATCAAGCAGGCACGCGCTATCCAAGCGAGAGAAGCCACCCTGCGGGCACTGGTGGCCAGGCTTCTAGCCCCTCGGCCGCCGCAGCAGGATGCGGGGCAGCACCGGCCTTTTCAATACCTGGGGTCAGCACAGAGAGATCTGTGCCCGGTGCTGCCACCCACAGCCTGTCCTGAATGGATGAGGGTTCACAGTCACTGATGACCTTGGCATCATGGGGGAAGGAACAAATTCTAAGAACCGTGGTCTAAAGCCAGTGGAGGGCTTTGACTGTGGGGTTTGGGTTGGACGGTAGAAGCTGTATTATAAGTGGGAAGAGAGTGCATGTGGACGGCAGCTTATCCAAATGATGGGCACCTTCCCGGGCTCGGTCAGGCAAGATGGGCTCGTGAGGACTAACCTTCCCAGGAAGCCCCGTTCTTCCAGAGGCTGAGGTCTCGCTCAGAGCACCATCTTGGTAGGAGAGATGACCTGTAGTGGGCGGGGCCCAGTGCAGCTTCCCATTCAAGGAATGGGGACTTACACGCCTAGTGAGGGCTCTCCCACTCCGTGCAGACCCAGCCAGGGGCCGCCCAGTGACTCTGGGCCCAGGGATCCTGGCTGTAACCGGGTAGTAGCGCCATTGCCCCACGTGCACATGGTCTCTAGGGACATGGGTTTACAGGACCACAGAAGGGGAACCAGACCAGACATCTGTCTGTACTCAGCTTTCCCCCATTTCCCCTGTCACGTGATATTAAAATCCTTTCATGAGGTCACTGGCTGGCTGCCCATGACCAAGGGGCAGTGTAACTCTGTGGCTGTGTCCGATGCTGTGCATCAGGCAGATCCCTGGAAATGGGATCGGTGTGTCCGTGGCTGACACTGGGCAGAGCAGTGGCTGAAACAGCGGCCATGCCTGCCCCCCAGAGCCATCTCTGGTTTGGAGGTAGAGAAACCGAGGCTCTCTCTGTCTGCTCACTGTGGCCCAGAGTCCCCATAGGAGCCTGCAGGGCAGCCCCCGACAGCCTGTCCCTGGAAGCCAACCTGCTCTCCAAGAGGGTGGCCTCCGTTCACATGTGCACTTGGAGATGCTAGGCTAAGCCGGTGCTCCGGAAGGCCCGGGGCCCCGCACACTGCAGCCCTCCCTGCCTCTCACCAGGTGTGCCTGCATCGACGTCCGGCATGCTCAGAAGGCCTCCAGGAAGTGGACCCTGGAGATGGACGTGGCGCTTGTGCAGTACATCAACCGGCTGTGCCGCCACCTCGCCATCACCCCGGCCAGGCTCCATCCCCACGAGGTGTACCTCGACCCCGCCGACTCCACCGACCCCAGGGTGGCCTGTCTCCTAAGTAGGTGGCCACAGGGAATCTGCTCTTCGGGCTTCCACCATCAGCCAGCCAGTGGGATGTCCCCCAGGGTGGCACAAGGCTGTGTGGACGGGCCTCATTCCAGAGAGGCAGCCACAGCGCAAAGCCTTGGCCCGGGTGCAGAGAGGGGCTGGGAAGAGTGGGGAGGCCTGAAGAGCCGTGATGGTGGCCACAGTAGGATGTTCATCCCAGCAAGGCCAAGCCACAAACAGGCCTCCGTCACCCCGGCCCACGGCCCACAGCTCTCTGAGCAGCGAGGAGAGCAAGTTAGAGGGGTGTCCTCGGCACAAGGGAACAACTGTGCTCTCTCAAAATTGGGGACGGGACACACAAGCTGTAATCCAGCCCTGGTGCCTCGGACGTTCTATCAGAACACCTGGGCTGGGGGTTCCGTGTCCGAGGCTCCTGGGTGGGTCTGGAGGGCCTTGCGGAGTGGCCTGGCTGTGAGACTGGGCAGTTATCGCTCCTGGCTGCCCTTATACCACCTGTGGTGAGAAGCTCGGGACTGAAGCCCACCTGGGGGCACTCCTGGTGGTGCTCCCCAGGGACAAGGGACCCCCTGGTGCCCACCTCCGGTGGCCGACCTGCCCCCATGCCCACAGATGTGCCCATCGAAAGCCTGCGCCTGCGCTTTGCCCTGCTCCAGTCCCTCAACACCACGCTGGAGACCTTCTTCCTGCCCCTGGTGGAGCTGCGCCAGACGCCCGTGCTCACCCATAGCATTGCCGCCCTGCTCAAGGAGGCCAAAGGTCAGCGAGACCCCCTCCCACTCTCCCGCCTCTGCCCTGCGTTCACACTGAGCGAGCATCTCCCCTTGGACCAGTAGTAGGGCCACCAGAGAGGACCGCAGCCTCAATGTGACACGAGCTCTTCAGTATGGTGCTCCCTAGGAGACCCCTTTGGTGCTTTGCTCCCACCCCCAAGGCAGCCATGACCCCAGCTGAGTGTCAGCCTTCCAGATTTCCCCATTCCAGACCCGTGGACTCACAGCGGTATAATTTGGTTGTTCTATTCCGCACCGTGCTCGGTGACTCCGCTTTCTCTGCCAGCCCCCACCCACGGGGCTGCGGGCTGGTGGCCGGTCACTGTTTAGCCATTGCCGGCAGTAGGCACTTTGGTGGGTTTTACTTTTGTCTGTCTGTGAAAGGGCGGCAACACACTTCCCTTTTCTTTACGTCCTGGGGTTTGATTTCCTACAGGGGCTTCCCCCTGGGCCTGGGAGACTGAAAGGGCCCAGCGGGGACCACCAGCCACCTAGCGCCTCCCCTTATACCCTCTCTTTAGGGCTGATCTTTTATGACACGAAGGTGACGGTGATGAACCGGGTGCTCAATGCCACCGTGCAGAGGACTGCCGACCACGCAGCGCCCGAAATCACCTTGGACCCCTTGGAGATCGTGGGAGGTAGGCACATGCTGGCACTGTCCTCTCCCGAACCCCAGCTGAGGCACCGGGAACCTGGCTCCTGCCATTCTGCTGCCATGTCCTGGCATGTGACTGCCAACTCCACTGGCGCCTGGGGGCAGCAGGGGACAGGCAGGGGTCCCCCCTTCTCCACGCTCTCCTGGCCCCATCTCAGCCTTGGTCACACCCATCTGCATGGGAGGCTTCGGATGTGACCTTACTCCGATCAGCCATGTGCGGCAGGACTCTACCACAGCCTCGGGACAGACACTGAGGGGCGGAGAGAACAAGTGGGCGTAGGGGGACTTTGGGTGGTTGGTCAGGAGGACCTGCCCAGGGTGGGCAGGAATAGCAGGGAATCTTGTAGGCCAGGACATGGGCCATCCAAACAGCGTGAGGGGGACTGCTGAAAGGCAGGGCCTGCAAGGTCCAGCGAGACTCCGCCCAGCATGGGGAGGGTCTGCCCCTTGGGCGGTGTTCTGTGTTGTGGAGCACCACCTGGAGGGCATCATCAGCCTCTCTCTCCCCCCCAGGGGAAATCCGAGCGTCTGAAAACTCTTACTTCTGCCAAGCGGCTCGGCAGCTGGCCTCGGTGCCCTCCTCCCAGCTGTGTGTCCAGCTGGCCAGCGGCGGCGACCCCACGTACTCCTTCAACATGCGCTTCACTGGGGAGGAGGTGCACGGCACCAGTGAGCAGCCCGGCCCTGGCCTCCTCCCCATTACCCTGCCCCCATAAGCCACACACCCCCCACGGCCACTCCCCCACCCCCCTGCTCCGAGAAGCCCCCTCCCACAGCCTGGGCAGGGCAGCTGTGGGAGGCCTGGGAGCTTGACGGTCTCCTTGATCCTGCAGGTGGCTCCTTCCGCCATTTCCTGTGGCAGGTGTGCAAAGAGCTTCAGAGCTCCATGCTGTCCCTGCTCCTTCTGTGCCCCAGCTCAGCTGTCAGTAAGAACAAGGTGAGCCCCTTGCCAGGGTGGGGGGGAGGGGGAGGAGTAGCTGGGCTGGCGGGCTGGCCTTGGCCCTCCTGGCGAGGCCAGTTGTCCTCCTAAAGCAGGTGGGCTCTACCCTTAGTGCCTCATCCCTGCCCCAATCCTGTCACCCCCCCAGGGCAAGTACATCCTGACGCCTGGCCCCATCTCCTACGGTGAGGAGCAGCTGCTGCACTTCCTGGGGCAGCTGCTGGGCATTGCCATTCGGGCCGACGTTCCCCTCCCCCTGGACCTCCTCCCCTCCTTCTGGAAGACACTGGTGGGAGAGCCCCTGGACCCTGACCTTGACCTGAAGGAAGCCGACATCCTCACCTACAATTATGTCAAGAAATTTGAAAGCGTAAGTGAGGGGCACATGTGAGGGGCGGTGTCCTGGGGCCTGCTGTCTGCTCAGGCCCCTGCCATGGGAGACCCAGCTGATCCACTGACAAGTGACAAGGAGGCTCATTTATGGGGACATGAGGCATCAGACAAGAGGTGAAAGTTGCTGCCTGGAGGGAGTGGACATGGTGGGGGCGCAGCTCCAGTGTGTCCCGTCTATCACCGGCCCTCAGGGAGAGCCTGGAAGGGGCTGCCCCTCCTCTCCCTGGGCTGCTAAGGACACGCAGACAGGAACCCACGCACCATCCGCCAGCCCTTCCACGCAGTCTGGCCTCCCCGCTCAGCTTGAGCCAACATGCGCTCAGCCTATGACAGCCCCAAGGTGCGAGTCTGCCCTCCTGGGGAGCTGGCTGGCATTGAGCCTCCTGTCTCTCCTCCCAGATTAATGATGAGACGGAGCTGGAGGCCCTGTGTGCCGAGATCGCCTCCCAGCACCTGGCCTCCGAGAGCCCCGACGGCCCCAACAGGCCCTGCTGCCGCTTCACCTACCTGACCATGACAGGCGAGGAGGTGGAGCTATGCAGCCGCGGCCGGCACATCCCCGTGGCGTGAGTGCACCACAGAGCCCACACCGTGGGCAGCAACCGGGGGTCAGGGCCGGAAGGGAGGCGCGTCTCCCCAAGAACCAGGAGGGTGGGCAGTGTGTGGGTGTCAGGAGAGACCGTGGGGTTTCTCTAGCTCAGCGGTTCTCAACCTGTGGGTCTCGACCCCTTTAGGGGGTCAAATGACCCTTTCACAGGGGTCACCAATTCATAACAGTAGCAAACGGACAGTGATGCATTAGCAACAAAAATAATTATATGGTTGGGGCAGTCACCACCACATGAGGAGAACTGTATGAAAGGGTCGTGGCATTAAGAAGTTTGAGAACCACTGCTCTAGCTGATACCTGCACCTGGCAAATCCTGGCTCAGAGGCTGGAGGATGAACTGTTCGGAAGCCCGTGGGCAGCTGCGAGCTGAAGGCCAAGAGGGAGACCCAGTCCCGCATGGCCCGCGTCTGCTCACCGGCCTCCCCTGCAGGTGGGAGAACAAGGACATCTACTCGGCCGCCATCCGGAGCCTGCGGTTACGCGAGCTACAGAACGTGGAGTGTGTGACTGCCGTGCGCGCGGGCCTGGGTACCATCATCCCCCTGCAGCTGCTCACCACGCTCAGCCCCCGGGAGATGGAGCTGCGCACCTGTGGCCTCCCGTACATCAACCTCGAGTTCCTAAAGGTAGGGCTGCCTGACCTGTGGATGTACAGCCCCGCCTGGGAGTTGTGCTGGTCCCGGCTCACAGCAATTCAGAGAGGCCCCTGGACCAGGGCTACATGGCCTGCCAGCTCCCAAAAAAAGCCCGTTCCTGCCAAGGCTCACTGCTTCTGGGCAGATGCATGGGCTGTAGTCCCCCAAATGGAGCTGCCACCACTGTGCCCTGTGACTGTCACCTCACTACTCGGAGCCCACATGCAGCCTGTTAATCACTCTGCCCAGGATGAGGCCTGGCCGGGCTTGCTACCCAGGGCTTGGGGAAGTGGGGATGGGGCAGCAGAGGCTAGCATTGCCCACCCAGGGCCTCTCTTTCCCAGGCCCACACCATGTACCAGGTGGGGCTGATGGAGACGGACCAGCACATCGAGTTCTTCTGGGGGGCCCTGGAGATGTTCTCCCAGGAGGAGCTGTGCAAGTTCATCAAATTTGCCTGCAACCAAGAGCGCATCCCGTTCACCTGCCCCTGCAAAGATGGGGGCCCCGACACGGCCCACGTGCCCCCATACCCCATGAAGATCGCCCCTCCAGATGGCACAGCAGGTACTGGGACCCAAGGCCAAAATGAGGGAGGCAGGTGGGGGCCAGGCCCAGACGTCAAAACATGCATACACACCTGCGTGTGACTAGATTTGATGACCCCCAGACCACTGATGACCACCCCCCACCCCGCCTCCTGACACAACCTTCCTCTGACCTGGCCAGACCCGAGGAAGAGGCCCCAAGGCCGTGCATCTCCACAGGACCCTCACCCCACCCACTGGTCTCTCTCCAGGTTCCCCAGACTCGCGCTACATCCGGGTGGAGACCTGCATGTTCATGATCAAACTGCCCCAGTACTCCTCCCTGGACATCATGCTGGAGAAGCTGCGCTGTGCCATTCACTACCGCGAAGACCCCCTCAGTGGCTGAGCCAGAGGAGGCCCGAGGTTGGCTGTCACCAGCTCCGAGGTTCGGTTTGGAGCCTGCTCTGTGGGCACATCCCTCTGGGGCGCCCGCACCACAAGTCGGAGACCTTTTGTTTTTCTCAACTCTTGTCCACAGTCCAGGGCCTCCTGGAAGACTTAACCTTTTGTAGCCATACGTTTCGTGATGGGTTGGTTCTTTTGCTGCCTGTTTGTGGTATGTTTGTAGGATAGTTTAGTTCCCAGACAGTTTGTGTCTAATTGGACCTTCTTGGCCAGTTGCTCTTCGCTTCTGGGTTCTCCTGCCATCCGGGCCCAGGAGGTTCCTCATTGCAGACCCACCAAGCAGGAGGCTGGTGGTGAGGTGAGCACAGGTCTCCACAAACAAGGCCCCAGGCCTGCCCGCCCCGAGCTGGCTTTTCTCCAGGAGGCCCTGCCCAGCCAGGTATCCTTTGGTCTGGAGTGGTGTTGCCGTCTACCAGCACCGAAGAGCCACATTCATGGGGCTTTGTGTGCTGAATCCTCCTGCTTGAGAATGGTCTTAGCTGTTCTGAGAAGCCCACGGGGTTCCCCTCCCCTCCCCCCCACCTCTCAGACAGGCAGTCCTGCCTGCTCTGGGGCTGGCTCTCTAGCCATTGGTTGAGGGTTTCCCAGCAGTGCCGGATGAAGGCGAACTGGAGACCCTAGGCCCAGGTTCTTTGTGGAGCCAAGCCACATACACCCAGCACCAGGGGTTGTGGTAAAAGTCCAGGCCCCCCGGGTGGATCTCGGACATACCGAGTAGGAAGGCCCTGGAGCTCAGCCTGTCCTACTCTTGTCCTAGGAGCAGGCCGTCTTGCTGCAGTGTCTGGAGTGGGGGTGGGGTGGGGACATGAAGAAGAAAGGACCATATCCACTTTGTAAACGCCCTCAGTCACTGCTCAGCCCTTCCAGTCCAGATGGAGACTCCAGGGGGCCTTTCTGGGCCATCTGGCCAAGAGGTGGGTGTAGGAGGCCCCGGCTGGCTTCTCTGACCCACTGATGTGTGCGCCAGGGCTGACTGCCTGGAGCTCACCCACTGCCCAGTGCATTTGTGCCCCAAATTGGTCTTGTCCAGTGGTACCTTGTTGCAGAACAGCACATGCCAGCTTGTCGGATACTCGTTTTGGGCTTCGCCTTGCTGTGTTCATTGTACGTGATTGTGAACAGTGGGTCTCGGAGGGCCTGCTGTTGGCTGAGGTGGTGCTGGAAGGAGGGCTGGGAGGGAGAAATGGCCCTCTCCCTGTGGCAGCCCTGGGCTGCCTGAAGCAAGCACCTCCCCCTCCCCGCACTTCTTAGGAAATGCATTAAGGACCATGGTAGTGAAGATATCTCCGACCCAAGAAAAAGATCTTCCTCAGCTGAATCGGTGCTGTTGCGTCCACTCTGTTTTGATGTAGGAGTCGTCTCGAGTTGAGTGCCAGATACAATGCCCTACCCCACCTCCCCCAAAGAAAGGTGGCCAGCTGGCTACCTCCCAAGGCCACAGCCCCCTGGACAGGGCAGGTGGGAGGGGCCCATCCTGACAAGGATCCTTTCATTTCCTCCTGCAGAAAGGAAAGCCTTTGGGTTTATTAGAAGTGGCTGGTTTCCTCCCTTTATATCTAAATTCTTGGTACCGCCCCGTCCTCCCATCCTTGAACGGACTTGGAAATCTGTCAGCTACCTCCCCAAGAGGGCTTTGGGACGCTCTGTCGGCCCCTCACTTGATTAGGTGACAGCTGTGAGTAAGATACCTGCTGCTAACGTGACTGCTTGTCCCAGAGAGCACATTGAGGTCCAGACAGAACCCAACCTTTGGCCCTAAAACACGTGTGCTGTAAAGTTACTTGATGTATATTTATTATAATTATTTATGGTTGCATTTAACAAACTTTTCATTCAATTTGATGCTGTTTACACCACTGCTGTGTAAAGGAGGCTCACCACAAGGCAAACCGTCGCACCAATAAATAACCTTCATCTAATTTTGATTTACCTCCAGCGTTGTGTGATCATCTACTCTTGCTGAGCAAGTTCAAAGGCTGACGTGCTTGGAATGGCTCTGATATTTGAGAGCCCCCAAGTGGCTGGGAATTAAAGTGTTTCTGATGACTGGTCTCTGCACTCTTGAAGTGATTGTGCCTCCATTCTCCTATAGACTGCCGTCCCCCCACTGGGCACCTTCAGGTCCTTCCTGCTTTCATCTGGAAAATATGAGCAGAGAAGAAAACCCAAGAGCAGGGCTACACCCCCGACATCCTGCCCAGCGGTGCCCCTGCACCTGGTCTGTGCTTTTCTGCCGCCGTAGGGGCTTGTCTGCAGATGGCCCAGGCCATTGTCAGGCTAGGTATCCTCGACAGCAGGGGTGGGGGGGTGGAGTCGGGAGGGTGGATGTAGAGCTTTGCAAAGGGAAAACATGCTCAGTCTTACTTTCTAAAATCAGTGCCTTGCAAAGCTGCCTCTTGTCCACAGGGGAATCTAACTCATGTTTTCTTGACCACCTTTGCTCCGTAGAAAGAGTCCCAGTAGAGTAACAGTTCAACACTTCCAGCTGCTCTGGGGAAGAGACATGGCAAACTCCAAAAAGGACTGACAGCCTTGGGAAGCACTCTACTCAGTCCCAAAGGTCAGAGTCCGGTTGATGGCCAACAGTGGAACAGCACTGCACTGCTCCACAGGTCGCAACCCCGCCCAGCTGATGCTCAGGATTCGGCTCCGCCATTCTTGTACTGGCCTTCAGTGACATGTCCCAGGTCCACCTTTACTTAGGGAGATGCAGGGCAGTTTTCCTTGCGTTGTCTCCTCTATGATGTCAGGTACTGGAAATGGAGAAGCAGCCACCACAACAAAGAGAAGCCTGCTAGTTAAGACCTGAGGAGCCAAGAAGAGCTGTTACCCACTCAGCCTGGCCAGCCTCCTGCTCTCCACTGCTGAGGCCATCTCTGGGGGCAGTTTCTTCAAAAAGTACACCATGCAACGCCTCATTCATTATGAAACCAGACCCAAACCTACTGCAGTCCAGTCACAAAGTTCTGAGCCCCTAGGTACAGGAAATAGTTTGCTTATGCAATTGTGTGGATGAAGTTTTCACAACTGAGCCCTGTGTATGCTCCACCACGTTCATGGCTATATTTGTAGGAAAGGTAAAACTATCAGCACTTTTGAGGAATTTGCTGTTCTCTCCTTAGCTGACACAAGTTCCCCTTCCCAAATCACCAGAGCTGGCACACGTGTCAGTCACTCATCCAAAAGCGTTTGAGAGAAACTTCACCTTGAGCCTGGTGGTCATGTGGATCTGCTAGTTATAAAGAAAACCCCAGAGTGAGCCTAGGGCTGCTCACCCCCTACCCCCACCCCCAGGCTGATACCACCCACTCTAGTATCCCTGAACCCCCACAGATCACAGAGAAGGAAACCAGAGACTGAGCTGAACTTCAAATACAAACTTTATTTCTATTACAAGGAAGTGAATTACCTGTAATAGTAAAATAAAAAGAGGGGAGGGATGCTGACACTTGATTTTCAGGGCCAGCCAGGGAGCTAAGGCCTCAGTTCTGCCCATGACAGAATCCAGCATGGACCTGGCAGGAGCAGAGCGCCCCCAGCCTCCCCAACAAAGAGAGGCTGCCCAGTGGAGACGAAAAAGCTATGCTCTCCACCAGAAACCCAAGGCAGTGATGCCAAATGCCAAAGCAGCAGCTCAAAACAGCCCTGGTCTGCCAGCCTCCAGTTCAACTCTTCTCCAAAAGCCTGGTTTCTCACTTACATATGGGAACCTTTAGCTCCTTTCCACGGCCAGGCGGCCCAATTTTTACCACTGGGAGGCACAGTATAGTCAAAAAAAGTCTCCCCAAACCCCTCCTGCAAAGAGAATCCATTCACTGGTGGGTACCGGGCTTCCAAGCCCTTGCCACCTCCCACCAGGCCCACAAAGCACCAGGAAGCAGTGGTGACAGAACGCCAAGATGTGGAGCCCTGGTGGGCTAACGATGTAAATGCTGCCAGTGACAGCTACAGCAGAAACCATTTCCACACACCCTCCCTCAAACCCCCAAACTCCCACAGCACAATCTCAAAAGACACAAAATGGCCACAACCTAGAAAAAGTTAAACTCCGAAAGACTCCTCTGGCAGGAGAGGCAGGGCCTGCACGCAGCAAGTGCTGCTGAGCATGGAAGGCAGGAGCTATGGGAGGTGCTTGGGAAAACAGTTACTCCTCCTCCTCTTCCTCCTCCGTATCCCCAGCTCCCTGCTGTTTGGAGCTTTGTGCCTGTGGAACCAACAGAACAAACATGAAGCAAGTGCAGCTCGGTGTGTAATGAACCCGTTGCCAAGGAGTCAATGCCACTCAGAGCAACCCTAGGGGACAGCAGACCCGCTGTGAACCGCCCGCAGGGTGTGTCCTTGCACCCACAGGGCAGCTGGTGGTTTCAAACCGTCAACCTGTTAGCAGCTGAGCGCTTACCCAGTGTGTACCAGTAGGGCTCCTTCACTCCTTCCCTAGGGCCCTGCACATGTCCGCTTCTAGAGAAACCTCATCCCAAGCCATGACCGCAGAGCCAGGCCCTCCAGCCAGACCAGCCTGGTCTCCAGCTCTCCCTCCAACTTGGAGCACCATCAGCCCCCCCACTCCTGGGTGGCAGGCCCTGGGCAGGTATCCTGGGCTGGATGTCTACTTACCTTGGTGGTTCTGTTGCGGTAGCTGGCGGCTGGGGGGTTGACTCGGGAGTTCCTGCCACCTTCACTCCTACCACTGTAAGAAAGGGGTTGGAAGTGGTTCCTAAGATGCCCTGGGCACAGACTGGAAATTCTAAGGGGGGCAGCTAAGGCCCACACGCTTCCTCTCCCAACAGACCTCCCTGACCCTAGTCAAGGCTGGGGGGACTCTGTTCCCAGCCAGTTGATTCTTACCTGGCTCCATATCTTCCCCCAGGCCCTCGGGGGAAGGACACAAGTGCTTCTGGGTAGAGATTTCGAACAGGGTGAACTGCTGAAATGTGCCCAGGGCCCAGGGCCCCATTATGGCTGTTGCAATTCTGCCCCGGGATGTCCTGGCTGTCTGAGTTGTTGAGTTTCAGCACACGAGGAGGGCTGGGCTGGCCCCCAGGCCTGGGGCCAGATACCACCCTGGACATTCGGTTACAGGGAGTTGTCATACTGTTCATGGGTCTGTTGGGAGGCAGAGGGTAGGTGGGCCCTTTAGCCTCTTCCTGCTTGATGAGCTCCATGTAGCTGGTAGGCAGGTCCCCTGAGGAGAGAGGCAGAGGTGTAGTACTGGAGCCAGGGCAAGAGCAATGGGCTGCAGGATCTTGCTGGGGACATTTTGACCAGCCTCCCAACTCATCAAACTCAGGCTCTGAAAAAGAGACTTGCCTGGTTGGGAGGATGAGGCCCTCCCTGAAATAGCGATGAGAGTGAGCTGGAGTTCCCTAAGCCTGTGTAAGTGGGAAACCTGTCAGCAGAGGAAAAGTCAAATATTTCCTACTAAGGGGAATGACCAAAAAGTGCTAAGGCAGAAAGAACACTTGTGGGGCCCGGAACAAGGCAGTCCCGATGTTCTCTAGGCGCCCAAGCTTCACTGTGTATCCGGGAGGCCAGCCAAGAGCAGCCATGCTACGAAGTAGAGACAGCAAGTGCCATGTGCTGCATGAGCCCGACTGCCAAACCTGTCCCACGACAGACTCCAAGGTCATTACCCTAGGAATCCACTCAGCCAGCTTGGGCTCCAGGAGACCTGTGGTGCTCGGCCAAATGTGAATTTCAATAAACCCCAGTAGGAGCAGACGAGCACTGGTCAGTAGATCAAAGCTAGCAGTGGACCCCGGGGCTCATACCCTGGTGCCTGACCCGCCTCCTGGGCAGCTCCGGTGAGGTCTCTGGAGGCTGAGAATCCTGTCGAGGAAACCCCTCGGTCACTTGGTTGTTGGCCGTAGCTGGACGTTGGTCACACTGGTCCTGACAAAGGAAACCCAGAAAGAATGCTGCTGACTGAGCATTCCTGACGGGGGAGCAGTGAGGGAGGGACAGGAAGAGCAGGTTGTGGAAGTCCCCTTCTTATTGGAAGGGAACTGGGATAACCTCTGAGAAGGATGTCCTGGGGACCCACATGAGGCACAGGTCTGGACAGGAGCAATCGTTCCTTTTAACACCCAAGGCTCAGTCAGCAGGACTTGCTGATCGGAGCCTAGGTGAAGGAAGGGCTGGTGTTGAAACCCAGAAAAGCATTTCTTTGCTTTGACCAAAGAACACCTGCCAGATTGTGTATTTCACAATCTTCCCAGGGGACAAGCAGTTGCTTAGAAAAATAAAATGCAGTGTTCCTGCATTGGCAGCTACACAGCACCAACTAGATGGATGGCACTGAATACACTTGCAGTATTAGCTCCGCATAACAAGACTGGGCAGAAGGTGTTATGTGCCACTAACAGGTTGGAGTCCTTTATTGCTGTCCCCAGTCCAAGACTAGGCCTCCCAGGCCTCCTAGGATGCAAGTCCCAAATGCCCTCACCCCAGGAAGGACCCACCCAGGCAAAAGCAGTGATGCCGGAGAAATTCTCTAACCCCTCTGCAACCTCAGAACAGAGTAATGGATGCTAGTCCTCAGCCTAGTGCCAACTGCCACAGGGCAGACAGCCTGACAACCTGAGACATGCACACGTCAGGAGAGCAGCTCCTCTCACTGGGCCTGAATGGCCAGACACCACCTGTGGGCTCCTGCTCGGGCTGCAATTGGACTTAAAAAACTAAAATAGCATCTGGGTTCTGAGTCTCAGATTCCTGAAGAGGCTTGCCAGCCTCCAGACTCTTACTTGGTGATGGAATAGCACCTCCTCTTCCAACTGCACCCCGCAGAATTCACAGGGGATGATGATGCTCTCCTCCACAGGGGGTGAGCTGGTCAGGCCCATCAGAGACTCTAGCTCATTAGCCTGCTGCAGAAACTTCTGGAAGACGTTATCAGGACGCTCCATCACTTTGGGGGAAGAGCGGCCCGTACTGAACGGAGGTAAGGCACATGAAGGGTTACAGCTCGTCTGCCATTCACAAAGGATAGGTTAAAAGAGAAAAAAAAAAAAAAAGGCACAAGTTAATGAAAAAAAATAATAAAATAACCCAGAACTAGTCCCAGAATGTTTTTTCTTTTTTTATAAATCATTTTATTGGGAGCTCGTCTGGCTCGAATCACAATCCATCTATCCATGTCAAGCACATTTGTACATGTTGCTGTCATCATTTTCAAAACATTTTCTTTCTACTGGAGCCCTTGGTATCAGCTCATTTTTTCCCCTCCCTCATGACCCCTTGATAATTTATAATTTTTTCATGTCTTACACTGACCGATATCTCCCTCCCTCCACCCACTTTTCTATTGTCCATCCCCCAGGGAAGGGGTTGTATGTAGATCATGTGATCTGTTCCCGCCTTTCCCCCCCACCATCCCCTTACCCTCCTGGTATCACTACTCTCATTATTGGTCCTGAGGGGTTTATCTTAGATTCCCTGTTTCCAGTTCTTATCTGCACCCGTGTACATGCTTTGGTCTAGCTAGATTTGTAAGGTAGAATTGGAATCTTGATAGTGGAGGGGAGGAAGCATTAAAAAACTAGAGGAAATTTGTATGTTTCATCGATGCTATACTGCACTCTGACTGGCTCGTCTCTTCCTTATGACCCTTGTGTAAGGGGGTGTCCAATTGTCTACAGATGGACTTTGGGTCTCCACTTATTCATATTGATATGATTTTTTGTTCTGGGTCTTTTGAAGCCTAATACCTGATCCCATGGACACTTCATGATCACACAGGCTGTTGTGCTTGACTTCCATGTGGCCTTTGCTGCTTCTCAGCGAGATGGCCACTTGTTTATCTTTAAGCCTTTAAGACCCCGCATGCTACATCTTTTGATAGTCTGGCACCATCAACTTTCTTCACCACATTTGCTTATGCACCCATTTTGTCTTCAGCGATCAGGTCAGGAAGGTGAGCAGCACAGAATGCCAGGTTATTAGAACACAGTGTTCTTATGTTGAAGTACTTGAATAAAGGCCCAATGTCTGTCTGCTACCTTAATACTTAACATATAAATATATGTACATAGATCTGTTTCCCAGAACATTTTCTAGTAAGAACTCACAACTTTAATATGGGGGAGAGGGACCAAAAAGGGTTTAGGGGAAAATAAACTTTAGGGGCTCCCACACTTAAGACTGTCTTGTCAGGCATGCCTCCTCCAAGTAAGATGTCTAGAGAGGGGGCTGAGGAGGCAAGAAAAAAGGGGAAAAAAAAGAGGCCAGACAGAAAGCCATGATCCTCCCAGAGAACTGCCAATACTTATAGGGCTCTTGGTACATGCAGAGCCCAGAGCCGAGCCCAGAGGGTCTCTGGAGATGGACATCAGCATGGGTGGGGGCAGCTAAGCCGCTGAAAGGAACATTGCTTGTCTACGAATGAGGCCGAGCAGCCCTCAGGCCCAGGTTGGTCACCAGGGCAAAAGCACAGCAGCTACTCCCATCACCAGCAAGGCAATAACCAGCGTGGTCTGCAGCCGCCCCTCTGGCCGCCACACACACTCTGACAGCCCCTGCCTATGTCCCCACACACCTGATGGTCGATCAGCAGCTCCTCTGGGTAGAGTTCCTCACAGAACTCACAAGGCAACAGCGTCTCGCCAGCAGCACCTAGGTATTAGTCCACACAAGATTCATGTCAACCTCTCATCGACCCGGCAACTTTACATTTCACTTCCTTTGACACTCCCAAGATGCAGCCATTGGTGGGGCTCAAAAGGAAACCACCTAGTGACAAATCCTAGGCCAAAGCTTCCTCTATGGAATATGGTGTGTACCTGCTAAGTGAGATATTCTGAGGCACTGATCTAAGAGCTTTTCCATAGACTATGCATAATCTCAATCCCCAGGAAAAAAACGTTTAAGTAAATTCCACATTATTCTTATTGTAAAACAAAGTTAAGGCTCATCCATTCCTGACATACAAATATTCTGAAACCTCCTCCCAGGACAAAGTTCCCCAAACTGCAGACTTAAACTAAGTTACAAGAGATGGTAAATAGTGACATTTAAACCAAAGAGTCCCTATATAGTGGGGTCAGCAGGGCAGGAGAGAGAGACACTTGGCCTGCTAGACTTGGCTCTGGGTAGGAGAGAGAGGTTTCCACTAGAGATGAGTAACTATAGCTTGATCATTGCATGGGTTTGAGGCCAGAGCCTACACTTAAGTTTTCAGTGTTTTTGATGTTTCTTTTTTAACACCTACATTTTTATATAAATTCACATTGATGATTTTTAAAATCCCAAGCTACAAACATATTTACCAGTTTGGTCACACACCCAGGTGTGCCAGCCAGATCACACCAGAAAACGGCGCAGCAATAAAGATGGCAACGAAAAGCATAAGCATGTTTAAAGACGTGTTAAGAGGAACTGAGAGACGCCACAAGGTATTTTTTTTTAAATCAAGCAGGCTGCAAACCAGAACCCAATGGAATTTAAGAAACGAAAACACAAACGCATGGCAGTAAAAATCTACATGAACATATCAAGCAACAGGTCAGAAAAAGCTAGAGAGAATCTTCCAACAAGAAGAAACTGCTCAATGTAGTGCAGTGACACAGAAATGGACAACATGAGTGAATAACAAAGAAACTGACCCTTGATGTCACTCAGAACACTGGCCCCACCATGGGGCTGGTCTGCCTCATAGATGGCCCTCCATAAGTTCTGTTCAGCCCCGTGGGGAGCCTGGCCCTCATTCTGAAGACTCAGGGCCAACATGAAGTCCAAGTTTGCACTATCTTCACCACCACCTTTGGAGTTCTGGCGGCCTCTATTCCTCTCCTGCCTTTCTTGTTCTTCCACTAGGGGGGGGGAAAAAATCACTCAAAATACACGGGAGAGGTTCCAAGTCCATAGATTAAGCCCAGGCCTGCAAAGACTAATAAGGATTATAAGCATCTGGGCAGAACAAGAGGCTCAGCTCTGCCGGCCCATGGTCCTCCATTTTTTTCACAGAGTTCCACATGACAAGTCTGCCTTCAGAAAAAGTCCCATTACCTTTCTAACTGGACCTTTACTAAGCAATGTTATTAAGCTTCAACGATTTGACACTGCCCTGGGAAATCCACTACACATTGGGCAACCTACAAGGTCAGCAGTTCAAACCCACTAGCCGCACCAGGGGAAAAAGATGAGGCTTTCCACTCCAATAAAGATTAACAGTCTCAGAAACCCACAGGGGGAGCTCAACTCTGCCCCATAGACTTTCTGTTAGAATAAGCTTAAGTATGAGGTCAGGTTGTCTGAATCCAAATCCTAGCTCCATCACTTATTAGCTATGTGAACTTAGGCAAGTCACATCTAAGTTTACAATGTTTCCTGGTTATGTCAAATGAGAAAAGTGCCTCCACCTTGTCAGATTGTTCTGAGAATTTAATTATGAGGTGTAAAGCACTTCAGAGACCTGTGGCACACAGTAAATACCCAATGCTATTAAGAGAATGACCATCTTCCTTGTCATTAACCTTAACAGCAATCCAGGAACGAGAGATTGTCACCCAGAGTTAGGTATTATCCCACTATTACCCAGCTACAGTTAGGTCTCGTACTCCAAGTCTGGCCCTAACGTCCTATTCTTCAGCCTCTTGGTATCTATGATCTCTGAGATCCTGCCACCATTCTCGATTTCTGATCCCAAACAAGACTCACACAAATTATTCTGAATTGGAAACTGCGTTGCCATGTTCCTTTGGTTGGTAGTCCTACTATGTAAAAGCTCGGCATCAAAGCATTGCAGGGGCCTGCGGGGTAGCCTCATGGGCGGGTCCAGAGCCTCCATCTGCCTGAGGAGATGGGATGCGATCCACATCCCATGTTGACCCCATGGATCAGCAGCAGCATTAGGAGGCAGGGCAACAGGATCTTCCTTCTCCTTCCCTTCTTGCCCACACACTCCAGGGTGTGTCTTCAGATCCTTCACCAAGACATTGCGTCCGCAATTGCCACACCGCTCTGTCCGGGCCCCACAGTAATCTTCATGTTCCTTCAGTCTGAGGACGCTAAGTTCCAAATCACAATGCTGGCAGAGGGCAGGCCGCAGAGGGCACTCGGTCTCCTGCAATGCACAGAACGGATCAGTTTACAAACGTGTAAGGGAAAAAGAGGGCAGGTATTAGATTAGTTAAGGTCAAATCAAGTTCAATGTTTTCCTTGGGGGTATAGTGGTTAGGCATTGCTCTGCGGGAGAAAGACTGGGCTTTACTCCGGTAAAGTTAGTCTTGGAAACCAACAGGGGTCGCTAAGTCAGCATCAACTCAATGGCAGTGAGTTTTTCCCAGCTCTAGCTTCACCTGCCATGCTTGTCTATGTGTTTAAGAGTAGTGGTGTCCCCTTCTGTCCCTGCTCCAAGGTTCTCCTCCAAAGGAAACTTGTGTTTTGAGGGGGGAGCAGTGGTGGTGGCAGCAGCAGCACAAATTCTTAAAAGGAATCTACTCAGCCACCCGGCTATCATCATTTTGTGCACCCATCACGCAGTAATTCAAATCAACCAGAGAAACCAGAACAAGTATCAAGAAAACCAGCTATTGAGATATCAAAGTCAAATCTCCACCAACTCTCCTTTCGCTCAGGACTCCAAGTTAATCTGAGGTGCCCATAAGCAGGGAAGTGGTTGGAAATCAGAGTGGACAGTGACTGTCAAAGCTGCACAGGAGTAGACAGCGCGGGTTTTCAACTGTCCATAGAAGCCAGGAATCACCAGAATATAAAGGGAACATTTCCAAAGTTGAGATACAACTACCGTGACAAAGAGCCGAACTTTCCACTAGTCCTTACTCAGCCCAAGCCAACCACTGAAAAAGAGGGCCAGGGTAGCTGGAGGAGAGGTACTTTTTACATATGTTCTTTGTGGCTTTCAAATTTTAATTCATGTTGATATATAATGCCAATCAGTAGAAGAAAAGAAATTTTAACGACTTTTTTAAGTTCCTCAGAAACAAGAGCAATGATCACTAGCACAAACCCTATGACACAGAAGCTCCCTGTAAAGTTTAGGAGGGCTGAGATGCTCAAATCCAGGAAAGTACTTTTTTAAAAAAATGTGACTTCAATCATTACTTACCAGCCTCTTGGATTGGACACCAACAAAACAAAAACAAAAAGTCAGAGATGTAATTGGGTTATTAAGAGGTTCTAATTTTCCTTTTATACTTTACCGTAAATTTTCTGCACTGAAGCTAAATTACCTGTTATAACTAAAAGTAATTTTTTTAAAGTAATTTTTTAAGTATAATCAAATAAATCAAAGTGTTTTAAAATAGTGAAATATACAGATGGAGTGCAGAGTGTGATGAATTTTTATAGTACATATATGCAAAGTCCTGCATAACTACCACCTAAATGACTTCGCCCTGTTTGCTCTACCACATTCATTCTACAGCACACGTAAATACTAGAAATATCCTGTCAGACCTACATTCCTGGGTTTGGCCCTACTCTCCCTCCCATACTCATTCAGCCTGTGTTGTGTGTCTCTTCATGCCATCTACCTACTTATAAAAAACTCACTGACTCAGTTCCGCCTCATTTGGTAAAGCTGTCTGTTTGAGACTGTAACCCTTTATGGGCATAGATAGCCTCCTCTTTCTCCCGAGGAGCAGTTGGTGGTTTCCAACTACTGACCTTGCAGATGGCAGTCCAATGCCTAGTCATTACACCCCCACAGCTCCTCACCTACTGCTAGATGGCCGTTAATACAGAATTGTGTATATTATGGCACCTGTGTGTACAATGGTTTCAAATCTTGCACTCTCCCAGTGTCTTCTCCTGCTTTCATCATTTTTAGCCCACTTTCCTCTTACTGTGCATTATCCTCCCCCAACTCCCAAATTAACACATCAAGCCCCCCAACTAGTAATTTACTCTCCCTTTTTCTCCCATCCTGGTGACATTCAAAGAACATTTTAGTAAGCAAATCTAGACTTTTTACAATAGTGATTATCAAACAATATTTGTCATTTCACTAGGCTTAAAGTTCTCCTGGTTCATCCTGCAATTGGGGTTTTACAGATGATCTTTAACACCACGGAGCACTAAATTTTGTGTGCATATACCACAGTTTCTTTACCCACTGTTCCACGGATGGACCTTTAGGCTGATTCCATCGTTTTCCTCATGTAAATAGTGCTGCAGTGAACATGAGTGAGCATGTATCTTTTTGTGTCTAAACTATTACTTCTCTATGCTATACACCAAGCAGTCAAACAATAGACATGGGAGGTACACAATAAGGGGGGGAAAAGTTCTCTGAGGAATTTCTTTGGATGTGCAGATCATATTATGCAAGAACCAAAATCAAGAAAGTCAACATGAAATAATAAGGTAAAACGTAGGCTGTGTGCCAAGGAGGCTACAGCACATTGGCACCCAGGCCTGGCTTGGCACTCGGTGAGGCCACCAATAGCCAAACCCGTAAAGAACTGAGAGAGAGCTTTAAAGACTCTCAGGTCTAAAGGGAACAACAGACCTGAGCATCTGGTACAAGAGATTCGGAGAAAATCTGGCCATGGTAGAAGAGTATAGCTTTGAGACGCAGCGTGAATGTGGGCTGAAAGTCAACAAAGACCACCAGACTGGCTTTCTGCTCCGCAGGTGACTCTTATCTCAGTAGGACTGGCGCCTCCCTCATAGTGCCTTGAGACCTACCTCGTGAGTCTTTAACTGCCTTTTCTCCAACTTCTTGTTACATTTGCAAGTCACCTAAGGCAAGATGGGAGAATCAATACTTTGGTTCCATGGTAACAACAGCAAGTAGAACACACTGCTGAACGTCCGGGTACTGGGGGTTCACCTGGCAGTGTTCTGTAGCCACATGGGTCTCCATGTCGGATTTGGGATATGGTTCCTTGCAGACAGGGCATACGCCAATGTTCCGTTGACAGTGGATCTCATGGATGGTAAAATTAAACACAGGAATTTCTTTTTTGCTATAATAACCGACAAAAGGGCAAGAATTACTGCCTAAACAAAATCTTTTCTTGCACAATGGCATCACATAAAATCTCTCCTTCCAATCTTTGATCTCCATTATTTCTCTTCTAATTAGCATCTAGTCTATAAGCTCAAGATTGTGTTACCACTTTGGTTTTTCAGAATACCAATTACATTTGGAAGATGTGGGGACTTCTGTGCAACACTCTGTGAGCTGCTAGTACTATGCACCGCCTATAAAAGCTTGGCCTCACTTTCCAGACATCAGAGCCCAGCAAAAACAACAGCACAAAGCCACCTGCCAAGAAGAGCTGGGCTAGGCTTTTCCAGAATGATCCATGCTCCAAAGCAGAATGACACAGTCCAGGATAAGAAAAATGACTGCCATGTATTTTCACTCTAACTTTTAAGTCATTTACTCTCAATGGATTTTATTTTATAAAATCAAACCAAAAAATACTACTGGAACAGATGCCAGCTTTTGGGATAAAGAGGAAAGGCAAATGATCTCTTTTGTGTTCATATGCCGTTTATGGCATGCTGGATACTAGTCAAGAACATGTTCTCTGCCTATGTATATTTTGTGACAGAGTAAGACCACCTACACGTGAAAAGAATGCAATATAATCCAACAAGAGGCACTTTACATCCCCAAGGCCTGCCTTTTACTCATTTGGATTAACCACGGGAAAACTCCAACCTCACCACCCAGCTACAGACTGCATTAAAAGACTGTGCCTATAAAGGATTGTCTTCAGAGCATCAACTAAGTCCACATGGAAGAAGCACACCAGCCTGGATTATACAAGAATTGTAAATAATAAAATCCAAATCTGAAGGAAGGAATGGTATCAGAGCTTAAATTGTGAGCATCTGGTTTGCAGAAGGCTCTTGGTGGCAGTGAATGCCCAAAATCCATTTGTAGATTAAGTCGCCTGAATCCCCTTGTTAGCAGAGAGCACTGTAAAGTCTATCTGGCAGATGTAGTTAGGTTAAAATGTACTACCACTTGATCACCCTTTTGCCCCATTTAAGTTCTATCAGCTTTAAAAAAGTAAAAGGGAAATACATATGGATTAAGCCTCTGGTGAATCCCTTCTGACCATAAACCTGAGATATGAATAGCTTGCTATCGATGTAGCGTGCATTAAAAAGTGAATTACAGATAGAGTTGAGTTAAAATTTAGCAACTTATCACCACTTCATTTCCCTTTTGATCCATTTTAAATTTGTTCTAGTTTTCAGTATTTTCTACTTTTTTCATAATGAGATTTTTGTTTTACTTTGTTATTTTTCTATTTTTAATAATGTTTTTCTCTCTATGAAATCCAGGATAAGTAAACCCACAGAGGCGGTAACTGGATCAATTAATTCCTTGAGGGTATGACTGGAGGGTAATGGTGAGCTAATTTAACAATGGGCACAAGAATGAAGAAAATGTTCTAAAACTGATTGTGATGATTGTACAACTCTTTTTTATGTGATTGAACTATTGAATTCTATGTGAATTATATGCCAATAAAACTTTTTTAAAAAGCTCTGCTAGAAGTAAGCCAACTAGAATAAAATATCAGAAAAATTAAATACTGAACAGAATAGTTACACAAATCTTTAATATCCTTATTTTACCTCTAAAGGTGAACACTGCAGGACCTCTCTCACACTACATTGCTGATTGCTTGTTTCTCATCTACAGTGTTAATCTCCAGCCATAGTTTAATAAAATTTTAAAGGAGGATGACTAGCATGCCTCCAGTCCTGGTCATACTCCTACATGGAAGATTAAAAAACGCAAATTCATTTTCATCTTGGTGCAATTAACAGGCTCAGGGCACTGCCAAGGTAATTTTAATTTTTCAACCAAGGTAATTCTTAAAGCAAAATTAGAAGGGGACAAAAGAACAATGAACTGAGACAGGAAGAAAACTCAATTGGAAAAAGAAAACTACCAATGATTTGACAGATTTGCTTCCCATATTTCTCCCAAATTCCTAGCTTCCTAAGGGAGCCACTGGTTTTTAATTAATTCAGTTAAAATTTTAAACCATAAAATATTAAAAATATAATTGCTAAGAGTTAGAAATAAGTTACCATCCAAAATTTATTTTTAAAACGTATTAAATTAACAAAAATTTATATTAGTAAATCCTGTTAGTTAGTGCAACTAGTACACCCACTTCTCACTGACCAGGTCGTCATGCAGAAACTGGTGTCATATGCAAACGGAGGGTGACATCAGATCACAAAATGGAAGATGACGAGACTACATCATTACATAACTAACAAATTATGTAACAGCCAAACTACGGAGAAACAACTTGTTCAAACTAAGTTAATAAAACCCAGAACATCACAACCAGTACTATTTACCTTGCATGTCAGCCTTCATTACATGGGACATAACAGTTAATGCACAAAACAGGTGACTAGATTTTTTTATTATTGTCTTAAACGCTAACTGTTGGATAATAATAGCCAATAAGTGAGAAGTACTTGTACTCTAATACATTAAATATTGATAGTTTTAAGTAGTAAAAAACTGCTAAAAATACGAAATGCTTACAAATGCTTAAAAATGTTTTTTGACCCATGAAATCATATACTAAAACATTTAACCCAATAATCTCACACCATGGACTTATGCTTATTTTTTTTACAATGTCATAAAATGGTTAAAAGATAGCAATTAAAATCAGTAAGTACTAAAAAAAAAAATCATAAAGTACTGATTAAAGTACTAAGATTCTGGGTCTCTTCTTCATTCACACGGCTTGGGGTAAGGTGTGCCTAAGTCCTCAAAGTGACACCTTGGTTCTTTCACACTTTAAAGAGGTTTTATGTGATAGATTTGCCCAGTGCAATACGCTAGTTGGATTTTGTTTTGTTTTTTTGGACTACTGCTTCCATGTGCATTGACTGGATTCAAGTAAAATATAAGAGCTATTTTAATCTTTTCTACTTATCATATTTACTGGTTCCGTTTTGAGTATTTTTTTGTTGTGTTTTCTTTACACTGAATTGTAATCCATACGGAAGGCTATAACTCTGATCTTGATCAGCAAAATGGCTTGGAGGCCTCTCCTCTCCCAGCAGGCAAGATCGTGTCATCTGTTTACCACAGGTTAAGAAGCCTTCTTCCACTCTTGATGCCAGGTTCTTCTTCATGTAGTCCAGCTTCTTGGATTTTTTTGCTCAACATCACTCCCTCACACCATCAAGTCAATTCTAACTCACAGAACAGAGTAGAACTGCCTTTTGGGTTTCTAAGGCTGCAAATCTTTATGGGAACAAAAACAGCCTCGTCTTTCTCTTATGCAGTAATTGGTGGCTTTGAGCTGCTAACCCTGCAAGCAGCAGTCCAACTCACAATACATTATCCCCCCCCAGGGCTCACAGATTGAACAATTATAGTGAAGAACACAACCTTAATGTACACCTTTTCTGATTTTAAACTATTCAGTATCCCTTTACTCTCTTCAAACTACTGTCTCTTGGTCTGTGTACTCATGAACACAATGTTTTGGAATTTTCATTCTTTGTAGTGTTACCTCACAATTGCTATGTAATTACAAATACAGGTATCTCCTCTGTGAAATCCACATGTATTTGTGGATATAGTCCTTCCCACATCTGTTCAGCTTGCTATCTTTGCTTCCACTTGTAGATCACTGTCACTGCAGGATTGCAGATGTAACAGCAGTTACCTCGGTGGCCTTTAACTCCTGTACTCCCCGGTCCTTCCCTGCCTCTGTCACCTTTGTGCTGACCTCTCTCTCAGTGTATAGTCCCTTCCCCTTCCCCGAGTTAATGCATGTCTACCCCCTAGTTAATAATTTACCCTATCTCTCCTTTCCACCCCAGGTAGCAATCAAAGAATGTTTTCTTTTTATGTGAAAAACTTTTCTTGACTTTTTATAATAGTGATCTCTGGCATTGAATACTATGTTTTCTTTCTTTTTTTAAAAAATATATGGAATGCTTCACGAATTTGCCTGTCATCCTTGCGCAGAGGCCATGCTAATCTTCTCTGCATCGGTCCAATTTTAGTATATGTGCTGCCAAAGTGAGCACAAATACGGTTTTCATTAACTCACCATTTTAAAAATTCTTCAGCAATTACTTATATGCTGTCAAGTTTGAGATTCCTTCAAATTGGACTAGTGAAAAAATTTTACCGACTACTAAAGCCAATAAGTCCACTTCCTCATAAAATCACAATGCTGTTTCTTGTGATTGTTTTATTGCTTGCTTTGTAGACAAAGTCAAAGTAATTTATGAAATGGTAAAAAGTGACATATTAGGGAGAAATATAAGGCCAGACACCCTCAAGGAAATGAAATCTTAATTCCTTGCAGTTGCTCTAATTATATTTTCACTTGCCTGAACGTTGGGCAGGAAAAAAAGCAAAGAAAAATTGCTACCTGGCTTGACCCTCTCTCCAATCTTGAGTTGAACTAGTTTCCTTATACCATGTTCCATTTTTTTCCTACCACAATTTGGTAGGCTAAAAATAGCATGACAGTTCTGCTTCGCCCCCCCCCCTTGTTAAAAATTGAAATCTTTCAATGAGAGCACTTGCTTATTCCTAAAATACCAAAGTAAGTTCTTAAGCAGTTAGCTGATTATTATTAATTGCTAAGTTTCACTTCAGCAGGAAAAGAGCTGTTCTTTCTGGTCAATGGCTTAGTAAAAATTACTGAAACAGAAAGATTTACATTCAAGACTGTATCCAGGCTCCACTTACTGCTTTGAAATCTTAAGATAATAAATCTAACTGCTTTGAGTTCAATTAGACATTTCTCCCACACCTTTATAAAGAAACAGTAATGTTCCTTCAACAAAATCCTTTTAAAGAGAGTTAAAACTGAGCTCTCTTCTCTGTACATCAGAAAAGTGAAATTCCACAGCAGTCAAGGGCTTTGCTAAGAGTGACTAGTTATGACAGGGTAGGAATCAGCTCCAGATGCTTGACTCATCTCCTCACTCCATTCCCTTTCCTATGCTACTTCAAAGCAAGCATCTTGTTAAACTAACACAGGCAGCTCACCTCAAATTCTTGAAAAGCTCTACTTGCACACATTTACACATAACATGGCCACCATTTCAACTGTAAGCAATAAGTCGACTCACTCCAACAGCACCCCTCACATTTCATTTCTTACCAGTTGTCACACAGTCGAGTGTCCTGGTCATCTAGAAATTCAGCCATCTTTAGGTTTCCCTAAAAATCACAAAGCAGAAGTATGAGCTTTCTCTTTCATTTCTGCTAAGAATGCCAAAACAAAACAAATTTTTAAAAGTGCACAGAAAATACACCCAAACCAGAGTATTACTTACTGCCCAACACACATGGGATTTTCCTTCTCTTTACTACTTATTTAATTTCCACTTAAAAATAATTCAACTTATAAAAAGAGCTGTAAAAAAATGCAAAGATAAAACTGAAAAAAAAATTTAAAAAGATAAAACTGTGATGACTCCACAACTCTTCTTAATATGACTGAACTATTGAATTGTATATTATATGCCAATAAAACTGATTTTTAAAGTGACAAAACTCCCATATACTCTTTGCACAGGTTCCCTAAAACAAAACAAAACAACCCACTGCCATCATATGGATTCTGACGCCATAGGACGGAGCAGAAATGCTCCTCTGCATTTCCAAACTGTCAATCTTCACTGAAGCAGCCAGCCTCATCTTTCTGCTGTGAGGTGGTTGATGGGTTTGAACTACAGATCTTTCAGTTAGCACACCCCACCAACAAGGCCACCAGAAACCCAAAACTAGTAATTAGTCCTCATTCAAATTTCACTAATTGTCCACCAACACTTTTTTTTTTTTCACCCAGGATCCAATCCAGGATCACACAATGCATTTATTACTTCTCTTTAATCCTATTTAATCTGGAATAATTCTCCCATCTTTCCATGAACACTCCAACACCAAGTGTTAAACATTTGGCTATTTCTAAGCAGAATGCTGGTTAAAATCAAGTGCATTCAAAACTTACAGAAACCCTGTGACAGAGAACTGCCCTTTCATGCTTCCTTGGCTGTGCTCTTTACAGGAGATTGCCAGGCCTTTTCCCTTACTGAGCAGTTGGAATTGGCTCACACCACCAAACTCTGAGCTTACATGTTTAATCATTGCCCCATAGCCATATAAAACCACAAGAGCAGCCCTTCTCTGAAGCACATAGCTTAGCTAGGAGTCCAAATCAACAGCAGAGATTTGGTTAAAAAAATATAAAAGAGAAAGAAATTTGGCTTGGGGGTGGGTGGCTTTTTTCCCTTTCATGACTCTGTTAAGCCACTTGTTTTATAGAATGGCCTTCAGTATGGCTTTCTCCAATTTCTTCCTCATGATTCAATTCAGGGTTTATATTTTTAACAAGGTAGGCGGTAGATCTGTCCATCTGCATGAGTCATGTCAGAAGGCATCTGATGTCAATGACTTAATATTACTGGTGATGTTAACGTCACCAACACCAATGGATACTTCAAAGAAAAATAGTGTTTGCCCTCTAAAAACAATGAGCAAGCAAATATAACTTGAAGTAGGGATTTTGATGGGCTAGTACACAAATGGAATTAGTCTTTTCTTTCTTTTTATGGGGGGTGGGGTGGGGGAGGTAGGTCCACAAGGAGAATTTCTTTGAAGGGTTCCTGGGAGGAAGAAAAATCATCCCAACCAGGATGGCTGTTGTAGGTACTGAGAAACTTAAGAGTGGTCTGGGCTTTCTGCAGCACCAAGAGCCCTGGCTAGGTAAAGGGAGGAACGCGGCTGGGAGCGAAGGGGAAACCCACGCTGGCAGCGGGTGTGGCGCCGAGAAGACGAAAGAGAAAGTAAAGGCAGGTTTGGGAGAACTCGAAACAAGCAGAATAAAACAAGAAGGACCGACGTGCTAAACGCATGACGATTCTGAAACCAGGAAGTGCCGTGATGCCGGATACATATCCACTGGGATCTCAACTGCCGGCTCGCGAAAACAACCCGCGCTGAAAACAGAGCCACTTCTCTGGAGGGCCGTGGGGCGGCCTCGACTCCCGGGGCTGCCCCTTCCTCAGCAAGCCCGCGGTTAAGCCGGGCGTGGCTGCAGGGCCGGAGTCAGCCCCGTCTGGGGGTCCAATTCCGGCGCTGCCTCGCCGTCCGCGTGGGAAGGACCCTAGCCCGGCCTCTCGGAGCGCTGGCGGGCAGGGGATGAGACGCCCACCCGCCCCCAAAGACTAGTGGCGGGGGATCCCTGGGGAGTAAACAGACGGGACTTTGGCGGTGGGGAGCGGAGGGGGAGGGGGGAACCTTGTTGGGGGGTCGATTCTCCAGATAGAATTTTTCGGGGACGTGGTCTG